GCAGCCTGCTCTGGGTGACCCTGCTTGGGCAGGGGGTTGGACTGGGTGACCCACAGAGGGCCCTGCCAACCCCTGCCGTGCTGGGGTTCTGGGATTCTGTGGCCCTTGCCCGCAGGAAGCTGCACCGGCTGCGTCGTGCCCCGCTGCGCAGGGACGAAACCCTGACACGCTTTGATCGCACGGGGGAACGAACGTCACCTGCGCATGCACTGATCCGGAGGGGAAACGCGTCGCCCTTGGCAGCGCCAGCTCAGGTGCTCCATACCCTAAGTCCAGTTTCAGCCAGAAAAGATACTGGGCGTTGGGGTTTTTTGCTATCAGGTATAACAAAAGTTTGCTGTTCCTTCAGAACTGAGTGGTGTGGAAAGACCTGATGAAATAACCTGTGTTAACTTATCTAGCGTGGGTTATAGGCAACACTGGAGTAATTAATTTCATCAGTGCTGCTATAATCAATGCCACGCCTCAGAGTTTTGTTTTACACACAAAAGCTTTTATGTCCCAACTCTCGGTAAGAAAAATTACCTTCCACTATAAATGTTGCTGAAATATGGGAAAGCAAATCAAATCCGTAGGAATTCTTGCTTAGCAAGTTCTGCTGAAAGCACAGGCGTCAAGGCCTGTCAGAGCTCTCAACTCTGGTCCCGCTGAACCAGGAGTAAATGAGTTCACGGGCTGATGCTGCTGGAGTTCTCTCAGCACAGCATAAACGAGATCAAATGTAGGATCTCTACAGGAACTGGACATGACAAGATTAGGGTAATTCCTTAGGTCTTTTTTCCCTGGTCACTTCCAAATTCTGAAGGCTGGCACAAGCCTCCCTTCCCTGGTGTGGTCGTTGCCGTTCTCTCGTGCGCTTCTCTGGGGCCTGCCGCCAGGCGTGAGGCAACGCTCGCGCAGGACTCCCCGGAGCTCTTCCCTGGAGGGGTGCGGCTGGCACCGTTTCTCCTCCCCGTGGAGTGTATTCATTCACGCCAGGCTTCATCTGTCACTTCACATGTAGCTTCCCACCGTGTTGGGGCTTCCCGCTGCCGAATGCCATGCCTCTTCCAAATGGCAAACGTCTTCACGTTCAGCAGAGCCATCTGTGGAGCCGGTGTTTTTCTGGAGTGATTCAGACAGCAGGCTCTGGCTGCAGAGGGGGGCCTCAGTCAGATTCCGCCTCGGGGACAGCCCGTGGCTGCAGTTTGCCAGTCAGGCTGTCGCTGTTGCCCCCGGGGCTCGCTCCCCACCCGGGTTCCCTGCTCGGGAGGGGCCCCCCCCCGGAAGCTGTATATTTTTTGCAAAATATTTATTACAAAATAAAAGTAAATATGGCAACAAAACTTAAATAGCAAACAACGCGACACTGGCCATAAAGGTCTTGCTATATTATTAATCTTTTACAATAATCAAGTATGTCTCCAAGGGATGCTGCGTGTGGACAGTTTGGGTATATTTCTGTGTTATTTGCTCTAGCTGTTTGAGATGCACGAGATGTGTGCCTCCTGGCTGCACCGGGACCCGGCCGTGAGCGGCCGTGCTCTGTGCTGGGCTCGTCATCCCCCTAAAATGGACAGGAGCTGGCAATTCCCACGCTCCGGGGAACCTGCTGTGCTCCACCCCAGCCCCCCTCCCCTTTTGTCTTTTAAAACCTCCGCAAATGATTCACAAATGATTCGATGCCCAGCCCTTTCTAGTCAGGTAGCAGGAAATGCAGTATCGACACCGAAGTACCTGTTGTTCCCCCTCTGAGTCACAACTTCTCTTGTGAAAGGCTGCTTGGATTTCTTTCCTCTCCCACCTACTACAAACTGTTATTAAAGCTCACCAGTGAGAGAGAGCAAGTCTCTGTTCCTGCTGTTTTAAGGGGCTTTTAGGTGCGCTTCAAACAGGAATGCAGCCCTTCAAGTCTCTTCAGCCACATGTCTAATGGAAGCAGTCTTTAAATAAAACATAATTAAATTAAAAAAGGTGACCGCGTGTGTGGAATCTTTCTAAGGCACCCAAGAATTTAAAAAGACCTCTTCCCACTCGCATTACTTACAGGACACTCCCGTTCCTCTGCTCTCCACAGTTAAAAATGTTAGCTAGCCAGCAACCTTAGCGTACACGATGACAGAGCTGAGTATCATTAAAAAAAACAGAACGAAAAGAAAACCCTTGGTGAACGTAAAGCGGTGTCCAGGCAGCCTAGGTTTCGCTAGCTATGCGCACGCGTCAGGGACAACACGTCGAAATAGTGACGTTGATGCCGAGGTTTCCGTTGTCAGCGAAAAGGTGTGCTATAGCGGTATCAAAAACTAGGCAGTCGCTGTTGAGGATGGCCGCGGCCACACCGTCGTGGATGGAGCGCGGCGTCGCCTCCCACGTCAGCCGGCGGCGGTTGCCGTTCAGCTCCAGTCTGTACGCAAAGTTCTCCGCCTGCTTACGGGTACCGATGAGCAGCACGATGGCAAAAAACTGCTGGTGCCCCTCGTACTTCTCCTGCTTCTCCAGCACCAGCATGAAGTGGTGACCGAAGCACGACTGCATCATCACCCAGTCCACCGCCCCCGGAAGGTTAATGTCCGTGGCCAGAAAAACGATGTCTTCTCCCTGAAGGGTGGTAATGCTTTTGTGGGCATGCATGAGGTGGGACATCACGGCTTCCAGGGATCCCTGCCATTTGCAGGAGGCACCGGGGCACGGGCAGGAGTAGGGGCGGTACTCACAGATGTCTTCGTGCTCTGGCTTTTCTGTGTGGTGGAGTGTCAGAGAGCAGCCTGTTGTGGCGTACTGGAAAGAGACCAAACACAAGCCGTCAGGACACGCACCGGCACCAGCGTTCGCTGCTCCCACCTGCGAACAAGGGCCATCACCCAGGACTCTTGTTCTCAATGACAATTTTACATCAGCTACTTCTATTTAGCCCTGGGCTCGGAGCTGAGCTCTACTTATTTCTGTTTCCACTTAAAAATGGTTTCTTCTTGTCTTTTGTGATTGGCTGTTTCCAATGCAAGCACTTAGATAAAACGGATTGTAAGGCCAAGTTGTAGTTAGATTTGCTGCTGTGGTTAGATCTGATCGGTCCAGATCAGCTGCAGTGGTCCTAGTTTGCCTTTTTCTTTTCTTTAAAAAGAACAGAGGATTCTAGTTTCAGCAAACAGCTACTAGAGTAAAGTATTTTTAATACATGTACGTTATTACCATCGCAGAGCAAACGCCCTTCCGTTAAATTCAAATGAAGATTCCTCACAGCTTTGCTTTAAACACTGGAGCAGTGTCAACAGTGCAACTGTGAGAAGTGGCACGAGAGAGGACAGTTCCTCACCGAGCATAAAGCTGGCGCACAGGTAAGTGCCATCTAACTTCTCTTACTGTCACTGGGCAACCCAGTGGGTTAATTTGCTTTAAACAACCAGGGACACTTTTCCTTTTTCTACAGTCAGTTCGGTTGTCCACGCCGCCATGTTGTTGAAAACCTCTGTCCTGCCCTCCCCGAGAGTGCGGCTGCCCCCGTCCGCAGGTGTCTGCGGGGACACCAGCACCGCCGCTGACACCGTCACACAGGTCACCACACGCGCCCGGCTGCTTGAGGACAGATACAACCAAGGCATAAATGATTATTTTGGGGCTGCTTAGTATGTGTGCAAGAAATGTAAGCTCAAGGCTTAAGTGCCCGAGATGCAAATCACCCGTGCTGCAAACACCGCGCTAGGAATACTGGGATGGAAACCAGACCTCGTGCTGCTGGAGGGGCTTGTTATTCTAAGCCGTGAAGAGTTAAGGTGAGCCTCTGCTCACCCCGTCCACGTCCGGCCC